CAGGAGACTCCCGGTGATGGCCTGGAATCTCTGCTTGTCCTCGGGTCCGAGTAGTTGGTCTTAAGGCTGCTCGATTGATACTTCTGCTCCATAGCCGGGGGTGCTGACCGGGTTTGCCTGTTCATTCCGTATCGCTGTAGGATATGTCTCGCGTAGAGTCCTTGCGATATGGCTAGTGTGCCATGTTCGTAGTCCCGCTGCACTTCGATGGCGATTACGCGCTTGACCTCTCCAATGTCTGTCATTTCGAAGCTGTCCATGAGTTCCTTCTTTTTCCTGTTGACGATCACCTTGTTTCCGCCCGTGATGAGGATGGTGTTGGGTGGAGTCTCGATGAAAGTCACGTTCCGGCTCTCGTAGACCTTTTCTTTGCCCTCCACGTAGTTCCGGTACGTCTTGCTGTCAGGTCCGTAACCGAAGAGCTTGCCTTCAAAGGCCCGGTCGCCTAGCTTTTTCTCGTATCGCTCGTGATGAACGAACGCGCGGCNCTGTCATTTCGAAGCTGTCCATGAGTTCCTTCTTTTTCCTGTTGACGATCACCTTGTTTCCGCCCGTGATGAGGATGGTGTTGGGTGGAGTCTCGATGAAAGTCACGTTCCGGCTCTCGTAGACCTTTTCTTTGCCCTCCACGTAGTTCCGGTACGTCTTGCTGTCAGGTCCGTAACCGAAGAGCTTGCCTTCAAAGGCCCGGTCGCCTAGCTTTTTCTCGTATCGCTCGTGATGAACGAACGCGCGGCCGCCGATGGCACGAGTCGAGAAAGGTCCGGGGTTGTGTTGTACATCTTGGAATACGGCGTAGCTCCCCCTAGCGCTGCGTGTGGGGTCCTGTTGGTCAGGTATGCTGCAGTCATCATGACATCCCCCCAAATGTGTTTTGGAATGTCTCCATCGCGCAGCAGAGCTCGAGTCACAGCCGCAAGTGTCTGGCAATCCCTTTCTGATATAGCACTTGGATTGATGTGGCCGAGGCGCCGGTGCCAGAGGTCGGCGCTCACGCTCATCGCCACTGAGCATGTCGGGTGCGGAGTGTGATCGATCTGTACCGCTTTTGGTTTTCAGAACTTCGGCTTGCGCCCTGGTTCTTGGTTGTTCGGGGGTGTCCTGCTTCTCGACGCTGGATCGCCCTTGAATGTGATGGCGAGGGTGCACATGCCTTGGTCTTGAGTCTCTTGTTTCAGAGGAACGACGACTTCTCCGCCAATGGTGAGGTGTGGGGTCTTGTCTTCCAGGACACATCGGAGGCCCTTCTTGAGAAGGGCCGTTGGTGCGAAGATGTTCCGGCCTAGTCCTGGCACGATGAGACCTTGTAGCTTGACGGGTAGTTGCTGTTCTTTGTCGTGTTTGATGGTGCAGTGTAGGATTTCAGTGGTAGTGCCTTGAAGTTGGCTTTCTCCTGCAACGTCGATGATCTTGGGCGTCGGNCCGATGGTGA